TCCTTTATTACTTCAATGACCAAAGTTTGAACAAATTTTTCTTCGTTTTCAAGTTTTCTTCTTGAATACCTTCAATGTTTTCCAGATACCGACCCGAACAACGTCACCATTGCGGATTTGGCTATACCTGACACAATGTGTTCACCGCCCGGTGGCGGAGGATATGAATGTCCCGGTGAAATGGTAAACTTCAAATTCGTTGGAAAACAGGGCAATTTTTCTGTAACTTAGGGACTATATGGGGAATTGTTCATAGTACAAAGTAGTAATGACAGTCTTTTACTTTTAATGATATACTGAAATTGGGTTGCAGGTTGATTACTCACTTTTAATTCAGGTGTGCATGCGGTTAAATCTGAACGCCAAAGCGGAAGGGTTCTATGGCATGTTTAACGACTTCGGTACTGTTTACCCTTTGTAAAATCTCATTTTCACTCGGTACCGGTCTGTCTATCAACTGATTCAGGCGCCAGTGTCTTCACAGTATATCTGGCAGCTTCCGAAGAAGGATGGGTGTACGTATTATACGACTGTATGGACTCATTACCATCACATCTGGCTTTCATCTATTTCCTAACGCTGATATTCTTCCTTGCATGGCTAGTAAAGGTGAACGTTCTGGAAGTATTTTCACTAGAGGGAAGTGTAGCTAAAATTCTTGAGAAGCGCCATGCGCTCTACTTTCGATTGAGACCGTAGAAGCGTTTGACTGCGCATCTCACATGTACAACAGTTTTCCTTCTCATCCGATGTCGAGCTCTGGGTTTTGTCCATCTGGACAGATCTGGCGCATGCTACTCCTTACGGATGGATTGAACTCCACATGCCCAAGTTTTATGCGCTGTATTATCAAAGCGTTAGTGAGATAGAAGTGTGACTATCCTTTCCCAAGAAGAATCGTAATTATAAATAGTCATTTGTTAATAAACCATTTCAGAACGTCTTTATTGCTGTAATCACTGAAACATTCGCCGAGATTCGTGTTCAATTCAGTGAAATGTGGCAGAAAAAGGACATGACGTTAGACGAGGAATTCCGGCAGGCGAGTGATTTTTTTCCTGGAAGTTACTCTGATTCACAATGAATTCACACTAAAGAAAGGATTCCATTCAGAAGCTCGAAAAAAACGAAGATGGCTGGCGTCTAATTCGCTTGGATGCCGACGTCAGTTATGTGGGGACAAAGCATACGTTGCAGAAGGTGAGTCCGAGGGAAATAACTTAGGCGGTATACGTTAAATAGATTGAATTTCCGTTGTTAAAGTGAAGAGGAGCATAATCTTTGATATATAGTCAAAATAGTAGGTGGTAAAAAGTTCAATGTATCTACCAATTTTGGCAAGGAGTATCAAAAACTTGTAGTTGAAAGGATGGATGTAGTGTGAAGCCAATGCTTCCTGATTGCACCTATTCCTAAGCAGCTGAAAGCAGCCAGGAAGGAGGGCAGAAACATTATCCTCCCTCTGTGCTTACGGGAGGAGTAAGTGGGTAGAAATGAGGTGTAGCCCAAAATTGAAGGGAATTAACAAATGCTTGTGAGATAGGAACCAAATAGATGTTCTTTCAACCATGTACCGTTACTGTAGCTCCTTCACCTCTCATCAAAAGATTTCAAAAAGCCTTGAAGAAGTCTATATCAAAACCTGGGCCTGTCATTGGGATGGCGCATTTTAGGCACGACGTCCAGGGATGTCACTCTTTTCCAAACGCCGTGTTTCGATAGTAAAGTCCCCCATCCTTGCACATATTCCTCCCATCAATCTTATAAACTCTTCCG